AAGTCAGTATACCAGGACTTAATGTCAAATGATTTCGCTTATATAAAAACATGAATATTGCTTCTTTTTCACTCCATGTAAATCCTAACAATACCATCGATAGTAACGTGGAATGGGCAGGAACTGCCATTTAGGTTGACAGGCCTAAAGAGTTTTTGGACAAGGTCCTTTTGAGCTTTTCGCATCAGAAATCTAGTTAAAAAGTACCATCAGCAGAGAAATTCAAAAGCGCTAGGTTCGCTGTTCATTAATATCGCTTGAGAATGTGTAATCAAGGCTAACGCATATATATAGTTTACAGGATAACATCAGCAGTAGTAAGCTACAGCAATACAGATCGGCAAAACTTCCGCACTGACTGGCCTTCCATCACAGCGAATTCGGGTTGAAATTAATTTTTTATGCGTTTTTGCTGTTCAGCGCTACAGCGCTGCTACAGCCAGCAAAAACGCGTACTCTCGAGAGGCTGTCTATATGTGTGTGCGTGTGTGTGTGTGTTCGGAAAGCGAGTGCATTTTGTCACCCACTTTCATCTTAGCAACCAGGAAAGCTGGGAGGCTGAAACTTTGGATATATGTTCCTACCCCGTGTGTCATCCTCTCGTTTTAACATCTTTCCCCATACACGCCTAGACCCCGCATACGGGATCCTCAAAGAAATATGTTGGCGGGAAACGATTTCGCAAACCAGGCAACGTAGAAAGCTGAAACATTGCAGGGATATTCTCCATGCACTTGCGAGCTAAAGATTTTAAACTCAACTGTCGAGCACCCCAACCACAGCCTCAAGCAGATCCTCAACCTAAAAATCGTCAGCAACTCGGACCTGACCCGCAATCGTATATGTAAGTGAACATGGATTATTAGACAAACGACCGTTCGAGCAATACTTTCAGTTTTCAATGAACTGGAAATTTGCATTTTTTCAAAAAAGTCGTTCGCAACTCCGACCTGAGCCGCAATCGTATAGGAAAATGAACATGGATTTTTATGCGTTTTTGCCGTGCAGCGCTAGAGCGCTGCAACAGGCAGTAAAAACGCATATTGCAACGATCCTGTCTGTGTGTATATGTTTGTGTGTGTGTGTGTGTGTGGTGTATGTGTATGTGTGTGTGTGTGTGTGTTCGTCCGTCCGGGTATTTCAACTCGCTAACCGCGCAAGCCTTGAAGCTGAAATTTTGCCAGTGTGATCCCCAGCCAGGTACCACCCCAGGACCGCAGTTTCAACCC